GAGAACATCACTCTGTCCACACATGGGCAGTAAACGTACGCCACGGCTATTTGCTACAATTATTTAACAAATCCACTTTATGCACAGTGTAAGCGTGGCACAGCCTTCCAAATCCAACTCGAAACAGAAAATTGAAGTGACAGAAGTTGAAACGGTGCGATGAGGGAGAAGTGTGGGCTTTACTGTACGCGGCAGCTGGTGGGAGTAAACAGGAATGAACATGCCACTCTGTCACCACAGAGAGGACTGAAGATGCTGGCAGAGAACAGAAAGGCAGGCTACGTACCCGTCCTGTCTGGGGACTGTGGGGGGAAGCAAGCAGTATGTGGGACAGCCTCCATCTAGCCTCAAATCTCTAGAGAACCTGCCATGACCCTCTTTTAAGAACGTGTGTGTGTGTGTGTGTATACTTTCATCTGCGTGCTAGAGAGCAAAATGTGTAAAAGACACGGTGTCATAGAGCGAGACAAGGAATGTGTGCAAGGCTGGCTGAGAAAACGGTAAAAGGAAACGCTATCCAAGTTTGACGATGGTGAATTTGTGCATACGTACGTCTCTGTAAAAGATTTAAACTGGGCATCCTAACCAGGCAGGAGACAGAAAGGTGCAAAATTATACAAAACATAATATGTAGCCTGACATATACTGCCTCATCAACTCATCCCACTGCAGTTTTCTGAGACCTGGCTGTGAACCTTTTCTAAAAGACGTCACATAAACAAGACAGAAAAAAAATGAATGGAATGACGTCTGGGTGGATTTCTCTTTCTCCTTATATCTGTCTTCTTTACACATTCACAAAAAATATGATGAAAAACACTGAAAATAACAAAAAATGTTTTGTCAAGTACAGTTTGGGGTCTCCCCACAGAACGTACGAGGCCTTAAAGATGTTTAGTGAGAACTGCTTTTGCTTTCGATCTTTTTTCTTGCAAGTAGATGCGTCAGTCTTGCAGGCGATGAGATAAAATGAAGAACTGTCAGAGAGAACAGATTACCAATTGTCACATTTTAAGGGTTTTTAATCGTACATATTAGTTTATCTTACATCTCTGTGGAAAATTAATCGCCTAAATATGGTAAACAGATTTTTCGAAACTCTCAGATACGCAGAGCACGTCTTACGTCGACCTTCATTTTTAAAAAGCGTTAGATCTGACCATGATAAAGGGGATTTGAGGAAAAGCTGCAGAACTTCACATTCACTGGCATTAAAGCCCCCCCGAAAAACTGTGCGCGTGCACACACACACACACACACCTAGGAATCCCTATTGCCATATATGATCAAAATAAGATGGCTTGGCAGGAGAAGTAAGGTCAGCAATAAATGTGAGCCTAACCCTTGATCCCCTTCCTGGTTCAATCACACTGCTCATCTAAAAAGGATGCCTTAACCTGGTATAACAAGATGTACTGCTGACACAGGAAAGAACAATGAAATCACTGAGTACTTGGCAAACGACTTAAACAATGCCTGGAATGATATGCCGTAGAGAGGGCCACAACTTTTTGGTGTCAGAGTTAACTTTAGCCCCAGCCAGACTTAATTTATTTTTAAGGATGTTTTTCACTAATCAGGCACATACACAAATGCCAACTGACAGCCTGTCTGGGAGTTTGAACTCCTGGAAAAGCACTTTAGGAAACCTTAAAATGTTTAACCTAACAGCTCACTTTACTGACCGTTTGCTTGCTCCAGCAGTTTATTTACCCGATGCAGCAAAAGCCACAGCTCTTAGTTCACTTTGTTTTGACCAAGTAGAGGCAAACCATTGGTCTGTGGAGCAGGAAGCTGTCAGTATGGCCTGATATGGCACTATGCAACAAGCAGCCACACTGTGGTACTGCTGCAGCCCTGGCAGAGCGGTTATTCTCCGAGTTAGCAGTTTAACAATGATAACATTTAACATTTACTCTCCCTGTATTCTTAGACTGCAAACTTTGTGCTTGGGTCGGGTGCAAGATGTAACCAAGCCACATAACTGTTCTGGCACATACACGCTGGCCATGTAGCAAATCCTGCCAGTAAGCGAGTGGCACAGAAGGAGGGTGGACTGTCATTAGTGAGAGGAAAATCAACGCTGTTACAGGAATGCAATATGCAGTTACAGTAACATCAATCTAGAGTTAAAACAATTATAAGACTTTACCAATCTGCATTATGTGGTTCCAGATCTACAACAAACATGAGAAGCTGCTACAGCGGTTAGCACAGTTGCCTCGCAGCAAGAAGGTCCCGAGTTCAATTCCAGGCTGGGGACTTTCTGAGTGGCGTTCTTCTTGCATGTTCTCCCTGGTTACTCCACAGACATGCACAGGGCTGGGTTAACTGGTGATTAGCCAGTTATTATTAGACTAAATTAGCTGTAGGTGTGAATGTGAGCAATCGTTCGTCCCTCGCCCTTTGACAGAGTGGTGACCTGTCCGGGGTGCCTCTCACGCTATGACAGCTGGGATAGGCTCCAGCCCAACTGCGATTCTGAATTGGATAAGTGGGAGAAAATGGACTGATGGAAGGATGGAAGGAGGACCTTACTGGTAACGGAATCATCTTAGACTTCTGGGCAGGCAAAAATCAATTTTAAGATTGGGCTTTAGGACGGTAATTTGCCAAGTATTTGCCGTTTCTTATGTCAGGCTGCATTTCATTGTCAGTAAGCTGGAGTTTTCTTGCACGCAAGCACAATTCATCAACATTTTTTTTCTGGTAAAGAGTCTGCTACTTTGTTTTACAGAAGTCTCAAGCATCTTCCTGACTGTACTGGACATTTGATAAACAAAATGCACAGTAAGCCTGGGTAAATTAGACCCCATTTACACACACAAAAGTTACATTTAACTTGCAGACCTGATATTTCCGTCAATGTAGGGCCAAAAATCACTTCATTTTTTAAATACACAAGGGAATCTGCTGCTCTATTATGTTAAAGCTCAAATCAGCAAAAAGGTTGTGTGATATTTTACCTAATAAAGCATATCTACTAATTTCATGTGTAACGCTGCAGGAGTCTGCAGTTGCACATTATATATTAAAGCTAAAGCTGTGCACACTGAGCCGTGGGGTAGAAGATCAACTGACATGTTGAACACATCCCGTACGTGCTGAAATCCAGGGTAGCCAATTACGGAAAAAAAAAAAAAGGAAAAAAAAACAAACTTCTCAATCATGTGAGATGGTGCTCAATATCATTCCACCTCTCCTGTGCAGTTTCTTGGCAAAAATTCCCCAGACTGTTCCCAAAGGTCAGGGCTGGGCTTTGCCACAGCAGGTTCCTGCGATCAGTATGTACAAGCTGGTAAATGAGTGCAGACTGTAAGGAGCCTTATAAAAATAAAAATAAAAAATTAAATAAATAAATGCAGCCATTTTGAAATGCGATGGTTAAATGTTCAAAAACGGAGACCGTCTCCATCCTCCACTGAGGTGTGGAGAGGCCGAGATCGCACGGAGTGTTGTGGGCTTGAGAATTATGCCAGGGGATAATAGGAGTCAGTGACACCTTAAAAAGTCTGAGCAGCAGATGTGTTTAACCAAGCCTATTAAAACCAGGACTAATCCTGCCTTACACGTCCTTATCCAGCCGTCCACTGACAGCTTTAGCTTGCACAGGACAGTCCACTTACAGCGTGACTGGTTTCCATTTGCGCTTGCTTTCAGTCCTTCAGACTGATGCACCCATAAAAGTTTGTTTAAAAGACTGCTGTTAGAATCAACTCCATTAATCCAGCTCATCACCAGGCATGAGTAGCAAACGCCCCTTCTCACCTGCTCACCTTGGCAGCCAGGTAGAAGAACGTGCAGCAGAGACGAAGATGTACGACACACGGCAAACTATGTCCCATCAATGGCCTACTTTACCTAGTTGAGGTACTCACCAGGGAAATAAAAAGGAGACACACATGTCAAATAACCAGGGCTGCTTTTAGTGAGCGTGAAATGGGAGCAAACGTTTTGAAACTAAGGATGCAACCTAGATAATTCCAATTGTCCTAAAAAGGGAGATTCTTTTATCACCCCCCTCCCCAAGCTCTTACACCAAGCATTAGTTCAAGTAGCCATGGAGGGAAGGGGGTGGGTCACATAATGGACAAGAAGTTAGTCTGTTATAATATGGTAGGTAAGCGAGTACATTCGAGAAAGCACAGTCCACTGTTCCCTTTTGTGTCCACAGAACTATGAATCAATGCAGTACAGAGCAACTTATCCAACAGCAGCTCCCACCTGCCCACACACTTGCTATAAAAATAGCTAACCTACTCAGCTAGACTCCAGGATGAGGGGGCCAGCCCCTCAGTATCCTTGTCCTCTGCAAGTGTAGATTTGTGACACTAGTTACTCATTAAATAATAACAGAAATGTAACAATGAATGAGTGGGCACCATACAAGGTCTAGCTGAGGGATCTGAAAGGTCTTCCAGTTGTACAAATGTTATGCAACCTATTGAAATCAACTCAAAGCCCCCCTCCTCCCCCCGATTAAATCAAGTGGCCATCTTCACAGTTAACCAGCGCCTGCTGACAAACGACAGTAGCGGTTTTGCAGCTGGGAGATGAATCAGACAGTCATAACTTAACATGTGGTCGCCTGCAAACGGTGACATCTTCGCAACTTCGATGCCAAATGAGCCTGTTGTCTGCACGCCAATGCAAAATCCACTCTCTCTCTCTCTCTCTCTCTCTCACACACACACACACACACACACACACACACACACACACGAATAAAGAGACGGATCCGCTGGTTAGGCATGCTATGCAGATTCACACCTGCACACGCCAGATAGCCAAATCCAACGCAAGTTGCAAAAACAAGCTCTGCATTTCGGAAAATCATGCCATAACGTTTACTCATAATCACACCAGGCTTCCAGCTAGCAACCTTAACTAGCAGCATATCTGCTAGCATCGCCAAGAAGGCCCAAGGAGGTTGGCTGTCCACATAAACGACACAAACATGGCTATTAAAAAGGGCGTTTGGGATTTAGCATGCTACATACCGAGCAGCAGTAATTTCAGCTCTCTCCTGGAGTCTCGCTTGTCTCGGCGGAGTTGTTTGTCAATTTCTGCATTGATTCGTTTCGACTCCTTCGCCTCTTCGCTCAGGCAGCAAGCCATCATGGACTCCAGAGTCATCCCCTCTGGTTTTTGGCAGCCCGGTTCAGGCGGGACCTAACGAACACTTGCCCACGGTTTCAGCTTCTCCCGAACCCCGGTTTCCTCGCTTCTGTCTCTAGCGAGGAGGTGGTGGTGGTGGTGGTAGTAGTCGGACCGGACGAGTGGATGGATAGGACTGGGGGAGGGGGTGGGGGGGGAGACTAGCCAAGGGGCCTCGCTGTCAAGTTGTCCCCCCGGCCGAGAGCAACTGCGACTTCAACCGGGCGATCTCAGCAAATCACGGGAGATTCGGACAAGGAGGAGGGAGCCAGGAGACGGTGGGGCCTCCCCGAGATGCTCTCAGCCTGCACGCCTCTTAATACAGCTAATATTAAAATGACTCCAGCTGCCACAGATTAGCTACTTAATACCCGTTTATATCATTAACCCCTCGGGTGTCACTGGGAGATCCAATTCTACCTTCTTTAATTTAATCTTCTCAATCCGCTAAAAGTGGTTTAAGACCGCAGAGTCGCCACATCCGAACCCGTAACAGCTGATATCTGTGCACTCTCCCCAACGCTAGATAAGCCCGTTTAGTCTGTAAAAGTAAAGACCCCTTGTCAGCAGGCTAATATTAGAGTGGTAATCTATATTGCACTATCCACACCGCAGCACTGCGCCTATTTTCCGAGTAACTACATCAGCTAACGCTGGCTAAATTAGACGTAACGACTACGGAGGCTGCCCTGCTAGCCCGCTAGCTCACTAAACAGCGCCTCGGCTAAAATGTGTCAACCCGCAGTGATTGAAGCAGCAGGCTGCTGGTTGAAGGAATTTGACTGCCTAGCTAGCAATAACTACACAGCAGCCTATTACATCTTGGCTCATTTTGACGATAAAATAAAATGCTACGACAACGACCGAAAACAAATCTGAAAAACGCGTGCCGAGCCGGCGGCTTTTGCTAGAAATATATTCACTTCAAGCAGAAAGCTTTCGGGTCGTTCGTCGCTGGAACTAGGTGGGCACACAACAGGATGATGCCAAGCGAGGAGGAGGATACAGTAGTGTTGACTGACAAACGGCGGATTTCACCAAACAGGTTCGTGGCAGACCAATTGAATGAACGAGGCGGGTCTCTGGGTGGGCTCAAGTTAGATCCATGAGATGCAGATGCAGGCTAAACCTAAAAAGCATGACCAGATAAAAGCTGTTTTTTTATTGTCGTCCAAGTCAGAGCACCTGTTGCATATATGCTATCTCCAGCTTAATAACATGTTAGAATATATAGGAACGCTTAAATATGTAAGCACTCCTTATCCTTCCATCAATAACCTGCAGGGTGTTGGAAGAGAGCGTCAAGTGTGCTGGAATAACAGCGGCATCTAGTGGCCTTATAGTAGAATTGCAAGTGTCGCCTGTTAAGACTGGGTTCATTCATTCACTGAGTCCATGAAGCAAATGAGGACACTTGGCATTCATAAATGGGCCACTCTGCAATTGCAGGACAATTTCTGTCCCACCCATGAATTTCAAAGTAACCCCTGTACAAAATACTAGAACACGCATTTGTTGTGTAAATTAAACATGTCCCGAGGCAAGTGTAGAAAAGGGGTTCCAAAATATTATTTAAAATACAAAATATCTCCAGGGAAACCTTCAAAAACTGTCACTTGTCTCTCGTCACAGCTTCTTGACAACCAAATTGCATGTCAAATACAACAATTAACATAAGTTATAAATCCACCTTTTCTTTTTGACTATGCTGACATGTGTCTCTTATACTTGTTAAACCATTTTATTTACATCAACATATTTTAAAGAAGACAACATGATATTATGAAAAGACAAATTCATTTCTTTCTTGCATTTCTTTATTTCTGCTACTCTAATTTTATTATTTTTAAATAAAATAATCATAAATGTTATTATTAACTCACAGGGGTTTAATCTATTGCCTTTGTAGTAGTTTGAATTATTGTATGAATAGTGCATTTGAGCAAAAACATATACAGGAGTTTCTTGTTACCATAAAAAAAATAATAAAAGGAACCCATTCACCAAAGTGCATCATAAATAAGTGTAATGTTTAGAAATGCTTGCTTTGCCTCTGCCTTTTATAAGATTGTTGCCAACACACAGTATGGGAAATGTGACATTTTAAGGCTAATCTGGCAGATGGATTGAAAGCTGAACATTGATAAAGACTCTTGGAAAAGCATGGTCTCTAGTGTGGGTGGGCTCACAAGAAGAGCTCAGGAAAAACTGACATGTTATAAGATACTCCACTTTTTTTCAGTTTAATTCTGTTCTGTTATATGTGCTGTTCTCTTTGAAGAACAGTTTGAAGGAAATTCAAGAGCCGAATAAAAATTTTAATGAGATAAATGTAAGTAAAGTTAGGTAAATATAAAAAAAGCAACAGATTGAGATTCTTATTTCAGTAATCCAGTCATGCTGGTAATGTAACAAAAGGTATAATTGCACATGGAAAAAAGTGTTCAATTATTTTTCTTATTTTGCTCTTCAAAATAGTCACAGAAGAGCTGCCTGACTTCCTCATTATTACTTTGGTTCATGCTAGTAGAGAGAAGCTGTTTGTGGCTGGGTTGGGGACTCTCTGCCTCGGCCACCTCCACCTGCCACTCCGCTTTAAATGCGTCTCCGTGAGACTCGCACATGTTGTGCAGAATGCAGCAAGCCAGGATCATGGTGGGCACCACGTCCAGTCCGCAGTCGTTCCTCTTGCTGAGGCACTGCCAGCGTGCCCTCAGCCGCAGCAGCGCCTCCTGAGACACGCGCAGCGCTCGGGCAAGCCGTCCATTAAACAGCTGCTGCTGCTCCGTCAGTGCTGCGTGACTCGCCGTCCTGCCCTGTTCCTCAGGATAGGCCTTCATCAGCCAGCTCTGGAGCGGGTAACAGGCCTCACCCAGCAACACATACCTGGATGTGATAAATGAGTGTCATTTATTTAATGCCTGGAACACCTGAAATAGACAAAAACACTCAACACTACTACATTTCACAATTTGCAAATTTGCATTATCTTTATTGGCCAGCAGGTGGCAACATTAAAAAGACGTGCAGTTGTACAGAAGTTTATAGGAAAACAAGCTTAGGTTTCCTTTGCCCTGTGACCTCAGTAAATATAAGAGTCAGAAAAGAGGATTATAGTGTCCTTGGGTTCAAAACATCAATATGGCAACAATAAAAATGCTCATCCAACTAAAGGATGACATCACAGTGTCTACATTTGCTTGTTACACAAAGGCCATGTGAAAACCTGACATACATGAGGAAAAAAACAACTTGAATGCCTGAAAAATGTGACTGAATTTCTTCTGTTAACTCTACCTGAGTGATTTTCCCATGAAGGTAGGTGGCGGGGCAGGTGAGAGTCCACCCTCGGCGGCTGTTGCCCATAGCGAAGAGTTCTGTAAGATCTCAGCTGGATCTGTCCCGCCTGGGAAACTGGCACATACATCCCAGAAGTGCCCCCGACCGCTAACAGCCACCTAAAACAGTGAAGGCACACAGAGGCAAACAGTCGGACTCTGATTGGATAATCCGCAAGCTTGTAATTGCAGTGACATAAATGGGCGCTTTCGTCACCTGCGACATGACTGAGAGCCAGCCGGCGGGGTTGGCGTAGTCAGACGCGTTGCTTGATGGGGTGATAATAGCTGTGTGGAGTGTTGCTATAGCAGCGACGCAGTGAGGGAAACCCCAGTGAGACAGGAACAGCTGAGCTGAATCCTCCAGCTCCTGCTCACCTGGCGATCGGAGGTAGATGGAGCTGAGGAGCGCCACGATGGCGTGACACATGTCTCTAACGCACCTGCACACGGTCGACTTCCCCACACCGAACAAGGCGCTGATGGTGCGGTACTCGATGTTGGATGCCAGGCGCCACAAAGCTACAGCTACACGCTTCTCCACGGGCAGTGCCAGGCGGAAACTGGTGTCCCGTCGAGCCAGGCGGGGCCTCAGCTTGTCGCAGAGGTAGAAGAACGTCTCTCGGTTCATGCGAAACTTATCCAGCCAATCAGAGGGCTGGAATTCTGTCATGACAACCCGCTCCCACCAGTCTGTGCTTGGAGTGGTGGTCCAGGGACGAGTGCGGATGCGGGCATTGGAGCGGACGCCTCCCGCTATCATCATCTACAGAGACAAACATAAAAACAAAATTAAAATTACTTCCCTCTGAAATATCCAAAATCTGTCACATTTTTTAACATAATGTTTGCTTTTTTTGATCCCAGCAGTAGTTATTCAATCAGATAATTTTTTTAATTCATATTTACCACAAAGGTAATTTTAGTGATCTATTAAGTCAGCACCTTTTTGGCAAGCCCCTTGTTTTAAACATGCTGCTGTTGATATAGCAGAAAATTTGAGGATATTGTATTCTTGGACTCATGTAATAACATGTCAACATTTAATATGGTTTTGGCACAATCAAATGGTTAAACTGAGTTTACCCATGTAACAAAATATTATTTTCCAGTACATTATGTAATAACTGGGGAGATATGAAGTTGGTCCTAGTGATGAAGTTTACAGATTTTTTGATAGTTGTCAAATTTAAATTGTTGCTCATTTGATATACAAATGCAAATGGTGAAGCAGATTTTTTAGAAATATACACTATAACACTATAAAGCTTATTACATTATTATTACATAACACATTTATTAGAGCACCACCCAATGTAAGTTTATGCCACAGCTATGCTACATTAACAGTACTGGTAAATACCAAAAACATAGACACGCACGCACGCACACACACACACACACACACACACTCACACACTATTTTTACACATACAAATCCTGATTTGCAAGTACAAAATATTTATGACAACAATTTGAGCACATAGAAAAGGAGCTCTGGACTCACAACACATCAAATATATATATATATCGGTCTCGTGCCGGTATATATATATATATATATACCGGCACGAGACCGATAGACGACAAGTACCGTAAGGGAAAGTTGAAAAGAACTTTGAAGAGAGACATAACATAACATAACAAAACATTACATAAAAATATATATACATACATATATAAAATTTCCTGCAAGGGTTAATCCACCAATATGCACAAGGTCTTTCATCAAAATGATCTATTTATGTTGTAATATTATACTAACCAGAAATTCTGAGTTAGAGATGGCAAAAAATAACACAAAAAACCTTCTTGTGTCAGTAACAATCTTCCATACTTGTACTTGTTTTCAGTGTAATGTTGTTTATTTGATGACTATCTTTTTCATTATCCCAACATAATATCATCAAGGTTGCTGTGATTTGTAAAATATATCTGTATAAGTAGATATAGAAATTTCCCAAATATACCATAAAAACAAAAGTTTACAAGGGGAAAATCCAACAGCTGGTATCTGCATATCTGTCCTTTTTTTTAATGAATTAAACATTTCAGAAAATGTAACACCCTATTTAACAAGAACAAAAACCTGCATATAACAGACCTAATTTATATCTAATGGACAGCTGTTAGCAGCTTGACTGTGGCTGCTCTGACATATTTTCAAGTTTAAATGCAGGTAGGCCCACAGTCTCTGGTTTTAGTGCTTTTATATGACTGTAAATGTGAGATTTAAGAGTTTTGAAGTGTTGGTCGTGTACAACGTGACTTTATTAAAAGCTTTGACGTTTTGCAGACAGATAATACACTATATTAGTTAAGAGCACTTGACATGTTGATGTGTTATTATTTTAAGCCCCTATAGAGGGGGACTGACCATGAGCATCCTCCTCTGTCTCTGGAAGAAGTACTGGCGGTGTCTGATGCGTCTTTGGATCTCGTTGCGTCTCTGAATGTTTGCGTCGTTTATGTCTCTCATGCGCTTCAGCAGCATGTAAGTCACGAGAAACATCAAAGAGCGCAGCTGCTCCTCCTCTTCCATTATTCCAGCTTTACCCGGGAGGCGACACTACTGCGGGTAACATGTCAGCCTGGTTAAAGTACAGCCTCTCTCATTCCACTTCCGCTTTCTGCTTGTTTATGTCTGGGTGTGAGTGGTGCTGCCATCCAGTGGCTGTCAAGACGAGTAGGGTACTGCACATCTCTCAGTGCTGATGAAGCTCTGTATATTGTTTTAGCATTCAGGGTTGTAGTGCTTTGGAAACAGTGATGTAAGCATCTGACATTCTTCGAGACGGACAGAAACTGGTTATTATTAAATGCGTTAGGTACTAGAAACGGGTTCATTGATGTCTCTTCCACACTCTTGAAACTTTGCAGAGACATGGAAAACCTTCTTTTGACAGGACATGCAGACGTGCCATCCTGGAGGAGCTGGACTACCTGTGCCGCGTGAATCCAAGTACCGTCTCATGCTACCACTAGGAGCGTTGATAGGAAGGATAAGGAGAGTGCAATAGTCTTTGTTCTTCAAAATATTTCATATTAGGGGTTGTCTTGTTGCCATTCTGTGGCGACTTTTGTGACTTTCATTTGCACCAAAGCAGGTGAAATGGACTCACAGTGGTTTATACTTCCTAACTGGACAGAATAATATCCCTGGAGTGTGTTGTGTTGTCTCTCTACACTCCCCAGTGATCTTTTACTTTGTAATTTAAAAGTTCATTTAACATCAAACCTCTTCAATGTGTAGACAGCGTATTTGATGCTTTACTGTTATCATCTGGCAATGTTTTCTCTATGTAAGTGATACATGATGAATGATGTTATATTGTGTACACATTAAACAAAAATAGTTCAGTACTATCCTAAATGCTTCTTCCTGCACTGCCTTTTGTGTTCAGTATAGCCTCAGTGAATGACAAAAAGTGAGCTATTTAAATTTATTACAGCAGTGTTTATTTCACTAGTAATGCTCTCTGCTCCAAGCATTTCAATAAATAGGTTCAAAAACAGTGACTCTCCGTCAGAAGAAATACTGATTTCGAGGAATAGGAACTCCTGTTTTGCAAAAAGAACTCCAGTATGCAGTTCCTCAATAGTGCTATGAATAGTGAACAAACAACATGTTTTCGACTGGACTTGCTGAGTGTAATGTGAGCCTTAAGAGGAGATGATGTCTGTGCAGGTGTTTATTACTGGATGACAGTAAGGTTAGAGGTTACAGAAGGTGAATATTAGCGAATCATTTACATGTGGATATGCTTTAGATTCTTGTACATTCTTCAGTCATACAAAGACTTAGGACACAACTTTCACTCGAGTGATGAACAACTCTGCAGCTGCGTTTTCAAACTCTTTTGCATCCATGTTTCCGCCAGGCCCCTGTGTCTGTGCACCAGCCATGGCCTGAGCCAGCTTGCAGGGAGAGATCTTGGCACTGGCCTCGAGGTAGCGGATAGCCTTCACATTAGCTTCAGGGCAGGAATTCACTTTAGTGTTTGCGTTGGCACAGTAGTTTGTGTCAGAGCCCTGGGAAGTCTCTAGCGCTTCTTTCAAGGTCCCCAGTACGGCCAGGCACAACGCCCGAGAGGCAGTGCCCTCACCTGGGCAGCACACCTCGGCGTAAAGCCTTTGAGCCTGTCGGATGTAGTCTGAGAAAACGGCACACGTGAGCACGCCATGACGGAAGACATCATAGGGGACGGCTTCATGGTCGTGACAATGGAGGCGTCGCAGGAGGGGAGCAGAGGTGGATGCAGGGACTCCACCCTCGCTGCACAGGCATTGCAAGGTCTGAGTGTAGAGGCCGCCTCTCACTCCTCCTCCTCCAGCGGGGCTGACAGTGCAGGGGCCATCGGGGCCTTCAGAAAACTCTCCTGCACATGTTTGAGGTCCAGTGAAGTTTAGGAGGTCGTAGGCCACACGGACGTTGTTGCTGAATGCTGATCTGAGGAGAAAGGTGGAATAAAAGAGAACAAATTATTCTTTAGTCTGTAGCAGAGTTATTACAGTTTCATATTTTCTGATTAGTTTTTATTTTTCTTTCATTTGGATTCTTTGTTTTTAATTCAGTTTAGTTTTAGTTAGTTTCCAGAGTGGAAGTTGTCTCAGTTTAGTTTTTATTGTTTTAAAATGTTCACTTTAAATTTGTTTTCTATTACCTTTAGCTTTATTTTTAGTCTTTTTAATTATTATTTTGTGGATGGCATATGTCACAGGAAAGACTCGGGGAAAATCAGTACAAATATTACATTAAAAACATTTTTGAAAGCAGTTGACACACAGTCTCATAGACATCCAGACTCTGAATAAACATGCCTATCAGTGCCTCGTCAGGCAAGTTGTAATAACATTTTACCAGACTAAGAAATATAATGATATTTTCTCTATATTTCTTTTATTCTAATTAATTTTCCAAATCCACAAAATTGTTTCAATTTTGTTTAGTTTTCCTTTCATTTTATCACTGCAGGAAATAAATCATAATCAGGAGAGAGATGATAGAGCAGTTTCTTACGTCTCTAAACCAGAACACTACGGTGGGCTGTAAGGACTAATGAATATGCAAATAATGGATATACAGCATAAAAAAAAGCCTGTTTCTGGAGAAAGATGACTTTACAAATATTAGTTAAAATCTAACTACTTCTATACCTGTTAAATAGAGCTTATATAGGGAAGAACGTTAATGTGAGGAACAAATTCGTTTGACATGTATGTTCCACCCTGTTGCTGAAAAACATACAGCACGTTGTCCATCACCATACTTTTACTTACATTCATTTATTTTTAAAATTCCAAAGGAAAACAAAATCAAGAGAATAAAAGAGAACATGAGATTCAAACAGACTATTAAGAATTAGTCAGTCTGATAGTTTGACAGAGGCTTTTCCCGTAAAAATAATATAATATAATACAATAGCTGCTCTTATAAATACTGATATGTTATGTTATGTTTGAAAATTCAACAGTTCTCCGTCAATACACACTGCTTTCATCCGCATTGCTGTCGAATATAAGACCATAAACCTCTGTATTTTGTCCGGACCTCTGGGAGTGATGGGCCAGCCGCAGGTGCCACAGAGCCCGGTTGAGACGCTGCTGCTCCTGCGCTCCTGCGCTCACAGTGCCGGTGTTCACCTGCTCCTCGTCGCCGCAACCACCCGAGCCGGCGGCTGTCACGGATGCGAGGTTGCAGAAGTGGTCTGCAAGGAACCCGATGGGATCGTCTGATCTGGCTTCGACCATTTTGAGGATAGCTCCGCGGAGCAGGTCTCCCACCCCTGCCTGTGACAGAAACTCCCTGTCGCTGTCCGATTTGGTGGCTTTACCCGCGGGCATCCCCGGAGGATTAACCCCGGACCGGCGTTTCTCCTTGTCCGCCATTACTGTTGACGTCCCGTGTCGCAGCAACGGCAGCGGAAGTGATGAAAACCCGGTTGGCGTTCAAGAAAACGTCGCAAAATTAAACCACCTCTTTGTCTGGCTCGTTGTAAACAATATACAAGTCGACTGTTTATTCTACCACTCACATCACATCAAAAGTCATTCTTAAAACAAAAATATAAACATATTCAAAAAAAATATTTAATTAAATTCCACATGCACATATTCAGATGTGCAAAATTAGATGCATAAACCTTTGAATTATTGAAAGTAACATTTATGCAGTTTGTAATTAGCAAGTTAAACTTCAATCAATTCCGAAACTTCAGCCAAAGAAACAAAAAGTAATGCACTCTAAGAGTTTAACGTGATTATCAATTTAATGGTTTTAGGTGCCATCCTCAAGAATAGGGTACATTTTCAGTTGGCTTATAATGGGATTGTGATTTCATGTATAGGAAAAAGGCACTTGTATGATTGCATGTGTGAATGAGACCTGTGGTTAGAAAATCCTCTGAGTGCTTATACAGAGTGGATAAGTGCTATGTAAGTAGTGCTTTAAACGTTTATTTTAGAGTTCATTTTGCTACTGGTAGGTTCAAAGGAGATATCAGCTGTTTAGAAATGACAGCCAATAGAATTATTCTTGATGTAACTGAAAAATTTGGCTTGATTTATTTATATTCAAGAAAATATATATTATATTTATATTATTTATTATATATTTATATTTCGGTTCCTTCAATGGATGTGACAAGAACAGAAGTCACATGACCATTGCTGTACTCACCGAGTGACCCAAAGGGACAGGTTTGTTTTATGAAAATACAAAAAATGCTGATATATATTAGAACAAGTGATGCAGTTTATTAAAATAGATGTGCATGTATCATTTTTATTTAAAGATAAGATTAGTTGACCAATACATTTTTAATTTTCCAACACTAAATGTCTCAAATATGGCTGTGGGGCAAAGCAAATATAACAAAACATTACATAAAAAGTGTAGTTTTATGTAGTTTTTCATGTTAAAAAATAGCAACTTATCTGTGATTACATTTTTTGTGCTTTGCTTCATATATTTAATGGTACTTTTGTATTTTAGTGCATGTGCAGCAGATTTGATTTTACTTTGGCTTTACGCTATAAAAGATAAAAGTATACATACCTGCTCAAAAATAGACTAATATTTCGATAAAGGTTCCAAGCAAGTTGAACGCTTTTGGTAGTCATCAACAAGCCTTCGGCATTATTCAGACTTGATTTTTGGCCAGTCTTCTCAGCAGAATTGGTAGAGTTCATTTAAATTGGTTGGTGAAGAGAGACCTGAGCGTAGAAGTGAAACTCTGGATTTCCTGGTAAATCTTCATTCCTACTCTCACCTGTGGTAGTGACTGAAAGAAGGATGTTGTGGATACAAGCAGAGGAAATGAGTCTCCTTCAAATGGTGGCTGGACTCTACCTTAGAGATAGGGTAACGAGCTTGGTTATTTGAGAGGGACTTGGGAGGGAGCCGCTGCTCTTCCACATCAAATGGAGCTAGTTGAGGGGATTTAAGTATCTGATTAGGATGCCTCTTGAACACTTAAGCAAAACAGTTTGTCCCAGGACTGGAGAGATTATACATCTCTCAGCTATAGACATTCTCTCTTTTTCATCTATATAAATGGTAAATGGCCTGTATTTATATAGCGCTTTACTAGTCCCTAAGGACCCCAAAGCGCTTTACAT